GTGCCCATGGTTGATCTCAACTTGGCCTCAACTCCATTTTCCTGCCTATTTCCCCAGAACCCCTTAACCCATATCTAATTAAAAATCTATGTCCTCCTCAAATTTACTCAATGTCCTGGCATTGGCCACACTCTTGACATACTGAATTCCATAGATTTTCTGACCTTTTAAGAGAAGTAATTCCTCCTCATCTCAGTTTTAAATGATTCTGCTACCCTTATTCTAAAACTATGATCTCTCGTTCTAAATTGCCCCCTAAGAGGAAACATCCTCTCCATGTCTACTTTGTCAATTCCTTTTAGCATTTTATTTATGACAATTAGATCTCTCATTCTTCTAAACTCCAGGGATCATAGGCCTAAACTGCTCACTCTCTTCATAAAACAAACTCCCCATGTCTGGAATCAATCTAGCGAACCTCCTATGAATTGCCTCTATTGCAACTACATTCCTCAAGTAATGGGGTCAAAACTACATGCGGAATTCCAAGTGTGGTCTCACTAATGCCTTGTATGGTTAAAACAACACTTCCCTACTTTTTATACTCTATCCTTTTAGCAATAAATGCCAAATTATATTTGCCTTCCTTATTCACATTACCTTCTTCTGCCAGTTTTTGTCCCATTCACCTAACCCTAAGCATTTATAAACTTCTTATTTCTTTAGTGACCCAATGAAGAGAGCACACCAGCGGCCCAGTGTGAAGCAGAGGCAGCGGAGTGTGCTGGCAGTGAACGGCCTGATGCGGAGTGTGCTGACAGCGGCAGTGGCCCGGTGTGGAGTGTGGCGACAGCCAGCAGTCAAACCACGTGGAGGTCCCCTGGTCTGGTCTGCTGTGGAGATCCCTTGGAGACAGATTATGATGTGTATAGCTGTAATGTAACTTCTTTTTCTTCACTTCTCTGTTCTGTAACTAAGGATTATACCTAGGTACTCTGTACCTAATATGACGTAATATGTTGGTGACATTGTTACACTGTCACTAATCTGTAACTGAAGTTGTACAGTCAGTTCCGCTGTAATCAATAGCTGTGTTCCTGCACAACATCGCGCTATAGAAATAACAGGGCCTATGGGAAAAGCGGGGTTAGGGCCAACGACCAAAAAATCCCTCAAAAGCCTAACACAAAGGACAGTACAGTTTGAATGAATGTTTAATTCATATTTAATAATGAAATAAAAATAAATTTAACACCTTACCTTAAAAAAATGTCAAGAAAACTTGGTGAGGAAAACGTTTTGAGGTAGCTCTGTTGTTAGTGCAGGAGCTGAGGGTCATCATCGTCATCATCGTCATCATCATCATCATCTTCAGGTGCAGTTGTGGTTGCGGGCTTAGGGTGAAAAATTGTTAATCCAAAAGTGGATGGCTGTGGTTCATTGTCTTCTGACTGTTTCTTGGGGTTTGGCTTAAAAAAGACATCCAGTTTTATGCTGCTTTGCCCTTTTTCTTCTTTCATGAAGGAGCTGTTCATAGGGTGGCAAATAAGATCTTATTCTACCAACTGCTACCCTGCTGCGTTCTGTATTGTAATCTTTGTTCTCTAAGAGCTGCAACTGCTTCTCAATTTCCCTCAGGATAGAAGACAAAACAGAAGTGGAAAGCTCGCATGGTGCTGCATCCTGGACTACTACTACTTCATCTCCAGCTTCCACTTCCCCCTCAGTGACAACTTGTTGTAGATTAGCTATAGACAGGTTTTCACAGTGGGACTCGAGCAGCTCTTCAACATCCTCACTCTCCACTTCTTCAAATCCAAAATCCAAATCAATGTTCTTTGATTCTTGGGAGCTCCTCCAACAGATCAAAGCCTTTAAAATCTTGAAAAAAATCTGGGAGAAGCTTCCATCAAACTGCATGCAAGCATTCCTACTGACGTCACCCCAGGCCTCCACGATAATGTCAATTGCATTCTTGATGTTAAAGCTCTTCCAAAATTGAAGAACATTGTCCTTATTCCCCTCAGTGCTGCCATCACCCTTTTAAAAGTGCACCTTAATTAATAAGCTTTAAAAGCTGCTCTGTACCTTGGTTCATGGGTTGAAGGAGAGAGGTTGTGTTTGGTGGTAGAAATAGTACTTTGATGTTTTCAGAAATCTCACCAACGGTGGGAGGATGGCTTGGTGCAATATCCAGGAAGAGGAGATACTTGAAATCCAATTTTTTTCCTGCAATACTTTCTTAAAACAACTTCCAAAACATCAACAATAAGATCAGAGAAAAATTTAACCCGTCATCCAACTTCTTTTGCTTGACCTAAATGGGATGCCTAGAATAGACTTAAGGTAACCTTTCAAGGCTCAGGCGTTGGCAGAGTGGTATACCACCACAGGCTTAAGCTTTAAGTCTTCACTGGCATTGGCACCCAGCAGCACAGTCATACGATCCTTCACCACCCTAAAGCCTGGAGCATGTGCTTCATTCATAGAAACGTAGGTTCTTGATGGCATTCGCTTCCGATATAAATCTGTCTCATCCAAATTGAAAATTTGATCTAAGTTGTAGCCTTCTTTGTCAATTAATTTTTTTACGATGGGGGTAAATGCCATCACATGCTCCTCTTCTGCACTAGCAGCTTTGCCACATAACTTTGTTCCTAAGCTGGCACTGTAAGTGGCAACTTATAAACTTTTCACTGTACTCATTTGAGTACATGTGACAGTAAAGGACTGGACAGGCTAGATACCAGTAGAATCTTCCCGATGTTGAGGGAGTCCAAAACTAGGGGTCACAGTCTAAGCGTAAGGGGTTAGCCATTTGGGACTGAGATGAGGAAGAATTTCTTCACCCAGAGAGTTGTGAACCTATGGAATTCTCTCCCACCGGAAGCTGTTGGGGCCAGTTCATTACATATATTCAAGAGGGAGCTGGATGTGGCCCAAAGGGATCAAGCGTATGGAGAGAAGGGAGGAATGAGATATTGAGATTGCATGATCAGCCATGATCACATTGAATGAGGTCCTTAATGAATACTTTTCTTCAGTATTCACAACTGAGAGGGACCTAGTTGTAGAGGAGGACAGTGTGAAACAGGCTGGCAGGCTAGAAGAGGTCAATGTCAGTAAGGAAGATGTACTAGGAATTTTGAGGAACTTGAAGATTGCTAAATCCCCCGGGCCTGATGGGATTTATCCAAGGATTCTATGGGAAGCAAGGGAAGAGATCGCAGGGCCTTTGGCAATGATCTTTTCGTCCTCACTGTCCACAGGTATAGTGTCGGAAGATTGGAGAGGGGCAAACGTCATTCCCTTGTTCAAAAAAAGGGAATAGGGATAAACCCGGAAATTACAGGCCAGTTAGTCTTACGTCAGTGGTGGGCAAATTATTGGAAAGGGCTCTGAGAGATAGGATATGTGATCACTTGGAAAGGCACAGTTTGATTCGTGATAGTCAGCATGGATTTGTGAGGGGTAGATCATGCCTCACAAACCTTACTGAATTATTTGAAGAGGTGACCAAACACGTGGATGAAGGTTGGGCAGTGGATGTGGTATACATGGATTTAAGAAAGGCGTTTGATAAGGTTCCCCATGGTAGGCTCATGCAGAAGGTAAGGAGGCATGGGATGGGGGTAATGTGGCAGATTGGATTCAGAATTGGCTGACCCTTAGAAGACAAAGGGTGGTAGTGGACGGAAAATATTCAACATGGTGCTCAGTTACAAGTGGTATACCTCAAGGATCTGTTCTGGGTCCTCTTCTATTTGTGATTTTTGTAAATGATTTGGATGAAGGAGTGGAAGGGTGGATTAGTCAGTTCACGGATGATACAAAGGTGGGTAGCGTTGTGGACAGTGCAGAGGGCTGTTCTAGGTTACAAAGGGACATTGATAGGATGTAGAGCTGAGCTGAGAAGTGGCAGATGGAGTTTAACCCTGAAAAGTGTGAGGTGATTCATTTTGGAAGGACAAACTTGAAAGCAGAACACAGGGTTAACGGAACGATTCTTGGCAGTGTGGAGGAGCAGAGGGATCTTGGGGTTCATGTCCACAGTTCTCTGAAAGCTGCCACCCAGGTGGATGGAGTTGTTTAGAAGGCGTATGCTATGTTAGCTTTCATTAATAGAGGGATTGAGTTCAAGAGCCGTGAAGTTATGCTCCAGCTATACAAAAGCCTGGTTCGGCCACATCTGGAGTATTGTGTCCAGTTCTGGTCGCCTCATTACAGGAAAGATGTGGAAGCGTTGGAAAAGGTGCAGAGGAGATTTACCAGGAAGTTGCCTGGAATGGAGGGAAGGTCATATGAGGAAAGGTTGAGAGAGCTAGGGCTTTTCTCTTTAGAACGACGAAGGATGAGAGGTGACTTGATAGAGGTGTACAAAATGATCAGAGGTATAGATAGAGTAGACAGCCAGAGACTTTTTCCTAGTGTGGAGGTAGCTATTACGAGGGGGCGTAGTTTTAAAGTGAGTGGAGGTAGATATCGGGGAGACGTCAGAGGTAGGTTCTTTACTCAGAGTGTGGTTGGGACGTGGAATGCATTGCCGGAGAGGGTAGTGGAGTCGGCCTCATTAGGAGCATTTAAGCGGCTATTAGATAGGCATATGGATGATAGTATAAGGTAGCGGTGGACGTTAGATAGACCTTAGGATTAGGGTAAAAGTTCAGCACAACATCGTGGGCCGAAGGGGCTATACTGTTCTATGTTCTATGACCCTTCTTCAGAAAAGCAATGTAACGCTCCTGCTTCCTGACGTGCCCCAGTGTTCCAAGCTCATATTCCAGTTCTTCAACTCAGAGCCAGAGTTCCTGCAGCAACTAAAACTTGTTACAGATGGGAGTCTCAATGAGCCACAAAGGCGTTGACCAGCTGTTACATCATGTCGGTGCAATACATCACTTGTCCCCGCATCTCAATTTAATATTTTTTTAATTTCCGACTGGTCTTTAGATTTTTTACCCTGTAAAGTATTTCTCCTATTTACCTTTAATTTGAAAACAATTTAGAACAGGTATTCAAATTTATAATTACTTACCAGTAATGAAGTTGTGGTTTTGCTGTAATTGTCACTGTTTTTGATGAGCTCCTCCCTGAGGGAACGTTTGTTTAGGGGGTCGGTGTGGTGGCCCGGAACAGAGTGAGGAGACACCAGAAACAAGGTGGTTGTGACGGTCGGTGTATGTGCGCAGCCAGAGCTCCGGGGCCGCTATGAGCGGGAAGACACCGCTGTCTCCGTCCCAGGAACCAGGCCCGCCGACTCGTCGCTACCGCTACCGCCACCGCCAGAGTGGTGTGTTCGCCTGGGTCCACGGCCGTTCGATGGGCCGCGGCCTCGGGCCGCTGGTGGACCCCGGGCGGGAGACCTACTGCATCATGACCAGTCTATACGGCTCCATGAACCCCGCCGACTCGGTAACTCTCAGCACCAAGACCCATGGAGCCGCCTTCAACCTGGAGTACTCACCTGACGGGTAAGGAACGGCAGCGGGATTGCAACCTACTCCCACCGCCTCCTTTCCAGGGCAAGTCTTACGACCAAGGGAGTTTGTCTCTGAATAAGGGCAGGCCATTTACCCCGAGGAGAAAATCTTCTTGTCCGAGGGAGTAAATCTTTCTTTTTCCCCCTAAAGAGTGCTATGGAAGCTCAGTCTTCGTGGGTTTAAGACCGGTAAATAAATTTCTACGTCTTAAAAACATCGAGGGATACAAGAATAGTGCACAAGAACCAGCCACGATCGTTTTGAATGGTGGACTGGCCATGAAGGGCCCACTTCGTTTCCTCTTTCTTGTGTTCTGTAGTGGATGCCCAGATAGTAACCTTCCGAGAAACATTAGGTTTTGAAAAATTGTTGAAAGTTTGGTAAACTGACCTTTATTCAGAACGGGAAGGAGATTAAAAAGACAGCTAACCGTGGGGCCAGTTAGCTCGATAACTGTCATTGGCAAAACGTTAGAGTCTGTTATAAAATATGTAATAGTAGTGCATTTAGAAATCAAAATACAATCAAGCAGTCAGCATTGCTTCATGAAGAGGAATCATGCCTAACAAATTTGATGGAATTCTTCAAGATGGTAACTAGCAGGATAAATAAAGGGGGAGCAGTGTATGTTATGTATTTGGGTTTCCAGAAGGCATTTGATAAAGTACAGCATATTAGGCTACTTAATAAAGTAAGTAGCCATGGTGCTGGAGGTAACGTATTAACATGGATAGAAAATCGGCTAACTAATAGAAGACAGAAAATTGGGATGTTTGCAGGATGGCAACCTGTAACTAGTGGTGTGTCACAGGGATGAGTGCAGAAACCATAATTATGAATGAGAAAAATTAATTTACAATAGCCAGATTTTTCGATGACACAAAATACGTGGGAAAGAAAGTGGTGAGAGTGACATAAAGTCTGTTGAGAGATTTAGAAGGTTAAGGGAGTGGTCAAAAACATGGCAAATTGAATACTATGTGGGTAAATGTGAAATTATCCACTCTGCAAAAAGAATAGAAGAGCTGAACATTATTTAGATGGAGAAAGATTGCCGAATCCTACAACACCGAGGGATTTGGGAGTGTTTGTGCAGAAATCACAAAATGTTAGAATGCAAATTCAGCAGGTAGTAGGAAAGACAATTTGAATGCTGACCTTCGTTTCAAAGGGATTAGAATATAAAAATAAGTGCTCTTGCTAAAACTATAGAACACGCTGGTCAGACCACACCTGGAATACTGTGAGCAATTCTAGCCCCCTTATCTGAGGTAAGAATACTGGCATTAGAGGTGGTCTAGATAAGCCTGATGGGATTTATCCAAGGATTCTATTGGAAGCGAGGGAAGAGATCGCAGGACCTTTGGCCATGATCATTTCGTCCTCACTGTCCACTGGTATAGTGCCGGAAGATTGGAGAAAGGCAAACGTCATTCCCTTGTTCAAAAAAGGGAATAGGGATAACCCTGGAAATTACAGACCAGTTAGTCTTAGGTCAGTGGTGGGCAAATTATTGGAAAGGGCTCTGAGAGATAGGACTTATGATCACTTGGAAAGGCACAGTTTGATTCGTGATAGTCAGCATGTATTTGTGAGGGGTAGATCATTGCCTCTAAATGTCCTGCCCCTTAACTTCAATGTATGTCCCTGGTCGTTGATTTCCCCACCAAGGGGGAAAAGTCTCTTCCTGTTTAACCTATCAATGGCCCTCATAATTTAATACATCTCAATTCACGATCCTTCTTCCGATCCCCTGCTCCAAAAAAAAACAACTTATGTAGTCTATGCAATTTCTCCTCATAACCGAAGTTCTCCAGCCCAAACAACATCCTGGCAAATCTTGTCTGCGCACTGTCCAGTGCAATCATGTCCTTCCTATAATGTGGATTCAAGAACTGTACATAATATTCTAGCTGTTTCCCAAACAACATTTTGTACAGTTCCAGCATCACTTCCCTGCTGTTAAACTCTATGCCTCTGCCAATAAAAGCAAGAATTCATATGACTTCTTAACTACTTTATGTACCTTTCTTGCAATTTTAAGGGACCGGTGAGCACGAATACAAAGGCTCCTCTGATCCTTGTTAGTTCCCAAGGTCCTACCATTCATCATGCATTGCCTTGCCTGGTTTGTCTTGCCCAAGTGCACCACTTCACTCGTATCTAGACTGAAACTGATTTATCACTGATCAGCACATCTGACCATCCTGTCTATATCCTTCTAGAGTCTAAGGCTATCCTTTTCACTACTTACCATCCCACCAATTTTTGTATAATTACTTACTCATCACTTCACCTACATTCAAGTCTAAATTGTTTATATATACCACAAGCAGCCAGGGTCCCACAGAACCACACTGAACACAGGCTTCCAGTCTCAAAAACACCCCTTAACCTCTGCTTCCTGCCACTCAGACAACTCTGGATCCAATTTTCCAACTTTCTTTCAGTTCTTTGGACTCCTGCCTTTATTATCAGAATTCCGTGAGGGACCTATCAAAAGCTTTACTGAAGCCCAAGGAGTCTTATGTCAAATGCATTGCTCTGGGGTGGCATGGTGGCTCAATGGTTAGCATTGCTGCCTTTCAGTGCCAGGGACCCAAGTTCAGTTCCAGCCTCAGGTGACTGTCTGTGTGGAGTTTATACATTCTCTCCTTGTCAGTGTGGGTTTCCTCCCACAGTCCAGAGATGTGCAGGTTAGGTGGGTTGGTCAATGGAAATTGCCCATAGTGTCCAGGGATGAGTAGATTTGGCGGACTGGCCATGCGAAGCAAGCTTATGTGGATACGGTAGGGGTGGTGAGTCTGGGTGGGATGCTCTTCGGAAGGTTGGTGTGAACTTCATGGGCTGAATGGCCTGCTTCCACACTGTTGGGATTTTATGATTTACACACTTGATCACGTCTTCAAAAAAAATTCAGTAGTCAAATATGACCTCCCTTTTAAACCATGCTGAAAATTCCATATTAATCCCTGCCTCTACAGTGCAGATTAATTCTGTCCCTCAGAACTGCTTTCTGTAACTTTCCCACCACAGAAGTTAGACTGACTAGCCTACTGTTTCCTGATTTATCTCTTGCTTCCTTCTTCAATACCAGTACCACATTAGCTGTCTTCCATCCCTCCGACAACACTCTTATGGCCAGAAAAGAATTGAAAATCATTACCAGTGCCCTAGCTATTTCCTTGCTTGCCTCACTCAACGGTTGATAAAGGTAATGTTGTTATGTACTAGAACAAAGGCAAACTTACCTGTCTTTTCTGTGTAACTCTTCATTCCCCTACTGATCAACAATCTATGAAGAAAAAATCAGAGTTAACGTTTCGGGTCCAGTGACCTTTCCTCAGAACTGATGATAGCTGGGAAAATGTCAGTTTATATGCAGAAAGTAGGGAGGAGGATGGGGTCGGGAGTAAATGATAGGATAGAACCCAAAGAGAGAGAAGAGCAGTTGGACAGACAAAGGAGTTGATAACAATCTCGTTGGGAGGGTGAATAGTTGTGATATTGGTCGCCTCAATTTCTCTGCCCCCTCACCAAATCCGACCTATCTCCCTCTGAACTGACTGCCCTCCATGCACTTGCACTTAGATCCAACCCTGACTTTGTTATTAAGCCTGCAAGACCTGAAATGTTAACTCTGATTTTTTTCTTCACAGATGCTACCAGACCTGCTGCGCTTTTCCAGCAACTTTTGTTTTTTTTTCTTGATTTATAGTTCTTTCGGTTTTTATTTTGATCAGCAATCTACGTTAGCCTTCAATATAGATAAGCACTCTGTCCCCACAGCTCCCCGTGGCAAGGAATTCGCACCACTTAATTCTGAGACTATGCCAAATAGTCCTAGACTTTCCCTTCAGGTGGAACATCATATCAGCATCTACCCTGTCAAGCCGCTTAAGAATACAATATATTTGAATGAGATCGTTTCTCATTCTTCTGGACTCCAGTGTGTAGAATCCAAACCAGTTTAGCCTTTGCTCATTAGACAATCCCTCCATACCAGGGATCATCGCAGGGAACTTCTCTGAACTGCCTCCAATGAAATACCTTCTCTTAAATAAAGAGACCAGAACTGCTCTTAATACTCCAGGTGAGGTCTCGCCAGCACTTTTTACAGCTGCAGTAAGACTTTTCTACTCTATGCTCCAACACCTTTAGCCTTCCTATAAGATAATACGAAATAGCAACAGGAGTAGGCCGTTCAGCCCTTGAGCTGTTCCAACATTAAGTCGGATCGTGGCTGATCTGGCATTCCTCACATTCACCTTCCTGCCCTTTCCCTGTAACCCTTGATTCCATCTAGAGTCATAGAGTTGTACAGCACAGAAACAGACCCTTCGATCCAACTGGTCCATGCCAACCTTTTATCATAAACTGATCTAGTCCCATTTGCCAGCATTGGGCCCATATTCCTCTAAACCCTTCCTATTCATGTACCCATTTCGATGCCTTTTAAATGTTGTAATTGTACCAGCCTCCACCACTTCCTCTGGGAGCTCATTGCATACATCCACCACCCTCTGCGTGAAAATGTTGCCCCTTAGGTCCCTTTTAAAACTTTCCCCTCTCACCTTAAAACTATGTCCTTTAGTTTTGGCCTCCCATACGCTGAGAAAAAGTCTTTGGCTATTCAATCTTTCCATGCCTGTCATGATTCTATAAACCTCTAGAAGGTCACTGCTCAGCCTCTGACACTCAAGGGAAAATAACCCCAGCTTATTCAGCCCCTCCCTATAGCCCAAATCCTCCAACTCCGGCAAAACCCTTGTAAATCTTTTCTGAACCCTTTCAAGTTTCACAACATCCTTCCTATTGTAGGGAAACCAGAATTGAACGCAGTATTCCAAAAGTGGCCTAACCAATGTCTTATACTTTTGCAACATGATTTCCCAACTCCCATGCTCAACTCGCTGACCAGTAAAGGCAAGCGACCAAAAGCTTTCTTTATTACCCTGTCTACCAGTGACTCCACTTTCAAGAAACTATGA